CCAGGACTGAGACCGGACCAGACCTGGACTGAGACCGGGACCAGACCTGGACTGAGACTGAGATAGAACGGGACTGAGACCAGGACTGAGGCCAGGACCAGACTGGGACTAGACCAGGACCAGACCGGGACTGAGACCGGGACTGAGACCAGGACTGAGACCAGGACTGAGACCGGGACTGAGACCAGGACTGAGACCAGGACCAGACCTGGACTGAGACCGGGATAGACCGGGACTGAGACCAGGACTGAGGCCAGGACCAGACCGGGACCAGTCCAGGACCAGACCAGGGCTGAGACCAGTTTAGTCCTTGTTCAGTTCTGGTTTAGTCCTGGTTCAGTCCTGGTTTAGTCTGTATGTGGCGCAAAAGTCTGGCATTTATGTTATCTGTTGTTTTTTTCATTTTCTTCCTTTTGGTTTTATTTTGAAAAATGAATGAATGAATGACACACGGATTGTCGTGCTTCAAAATGTTCTATGATGACAGGTCTATGAGGAGCTAAATTAGATTTGTTTTGAATAAAGATTGTATTTTTCTTCTTCGCGGAGGAGATTCAATTACCAAAACAATTTCAGCGTTTTCGATTTAATAACTACGCCAACTCAAATTTCCGTTTCTCTTCGAGTCCGATATATATATGTGGTCTCTCAGAAAATGCTAATATCTTGAAACTCGTCCACACCGCGACGTCCTCTCTCTGTGTGTGGGAGTTAGTTAAAGCAGACAGGTTTTGAAGCGTGACCCTGGACTCGCGCGACGCTGTTTATGGTCCCTCCGAGGGGTGTAATTGGGGACAGGTGTTTGGAGGACATCTGTCGAGGTTACACGGGACGGGACAGGTGCGGCTGCCCCCCTCCTCCTTTTCCCCCCATCAGCTAATCTAATCAAAGGAAAGTGCCGCTATTATCACAGGGGGAGAGGGAGAGTGTGGGTACAGGAATTAAAGGGACAAAACTGACTCTTATGAGCTTTAAGCCGTGTTATAATGCTGTTACCTCATCGAAAACAGACCTGGACTTGTGTTTTGTTTCATTTACATGCTTGAGTAACCCTGTATTATTAGTCTGTCTACATTTATAAAGCTCAAAATGCTCTGTTCCACCTTGTGATGTAATTAAATGTTCATACAGGAAGTGCTCCAAGTCCATACACCTTCACTAGAATCATTTAAATCATTTCAGTCCTTGCCAAAATCTACTGAACTGAAGGTAAAATGTAGTGTTGTAATCGAGACCGAGACCTGTCCGAGACCACAGGATCCCGAGACCAGGACTAGACCAAGACCTCTGAGAGTCGAGACCGAGACAAGACCGAGACTTTTAAAGGTCGAAATCGAGAGCACGGCCCATCGAGACCAAATAAAGACCATTTTCAACATTTATTTGTATTTTACAGTTATTTTGGCACATTTATATATATTTTTTTGATAAATCTATCTCAGTTTTATCTGATTATTGTTCATTTAGGCATAAAATAAGACAAGCAAACTGTACTGTACTTTTTTGGACCCTCACCCACAGTTTGAGAACCTCTTCTTTAAGACTAGTGTTGTAGAAAAAAATTATATATCTATTGATGATAAATAATTAATCCATTTATGAAGCCCGATGAGTTTTTGGAATACGGACCGAGGTTTATTCTTGTTACAGCAGATATGGACAGGGACTAGACCTGCCCTGGACAGAACCCAACAGCCTCTTCACCAGCAGCATGTCTCTGCCACATCCTGCACACACGAGCCACACTCGCACTTTACACAAAACTGAACAAGTGAAGACAGTGGGAAGGATTTTAAACCTGTTTTTTTCAAGTTTCTAACTGGAGTTACATACTCTTACTGGTTTTGCAGTGGGATTTAGTCTCTGCACATTTACCAAACGCACGTCGTGACAAATACAGATGCATTTGTGCGGGTTTATTAGGCAAACTTCAACCATATTTCACGGTAAGAAGTTTATTTCCAACAGCAGCAGCCGTATTGAAATATAATTGCACTCGACAAGGGTCAGACATCAAGTCAGAGACAAGACCGAGACCAAGCGCCTTCAAGACCGAGACAAGACCGAGTCCAAACGTCTTCAAGACTGAGACAAGGCCAAGTCCAAATGAATTCAAGACCGAAACAAGACCGAGTCTACGCACCTTCAAGTCAGAGACAAGACTGAGTCCAAACACCTTCAAGACCGAGACAAGACCAAGTCCAAACGCCTTCAAGACCTAGACAAGATCGAGTCCAAGCGCCTTTAAGACCGAGACAAGACCAAGTCCAAACGCCTTCAAGACTGAGACAAGGCCAAGTCCAAATGAATTCAAGACCGAAACAAGACCGAGTCTACGCACCTTCAAGTCAGAGAAAAGACCGAGTCCAAGCTCCTTCAAGTCAGAGACAAGACTGAGTCCAAACACCTTCAAGACCGAGACAAGACCGAGTCCAAACGTCTTCAAGACTGAGACAAGGCCAAGTCCAAGCTCCTTCAAGTCAGAGACAAGACCGAGTCCAAGCTCCTTCAAGTCAGAGACAAGACTGAGTCCAAACACCTTCAAGACCGAGACAAGACCGAGTCCAAACGTCCTTCAAGACCTAGACAAGACCGAGTCCAAGCTCCTTCAAGTCAGAGAAAGACCGAGTCCAAGCTCCTTCAAGTCAGAGACAAGACTGAGTCCAAACACCTTCAAGACCGAGACAAGACCGAGTCCAAACGTCTTCAAGACTAGACAAGATCGAGTCCAAGCTCCTTCAAGTCAGAGACAAGACCAAGTCCAAACACCTTCAAGACCGAGACAAGACCAAGTCCAAGCTCCTTTAAGACTGAGACAAGATCGAGTCCAAACGTGGTTGAGTCCGAGACGAGACCAAGACCGTAAAAATTCGGTCTTGGGTACTACAACACTAGTAAAATGTAGTTGCTAACTTGAAAACTATACCGCTTCATGACATCACAAGGTGGAACAGAGCATTTTGAGCTTTGGAGGTGTATGAATGAAACAAAACACAACTCCAGGTTTGTTTTTAAGGAGGTGACAGCATTATAACACGGCTTAAAGCTCACAAGGTTAAAAAAAAAAATCATCAAATAAACGTACAGATGGTTGTTAACACTTCATAGATATTTTCTTTGACGTGTAGATTCAGCAGCTTTTTGCAGAGCCATTTTGTAAACTGCAGCCATCTGTAGTTTATTCTTTTTTTTTTTCTAATACTTTAAAAATAGTTGGATAATTCTCTGGCTCCTGAGCTACAGTATGTTTTTGTATGTAATAGTGAAATATAATTGAAATAAAACATTCTTCAAGTTTGTCACACAGTACCAAGAAGTTCTAGTGTAAAAAGAGGCTTTATTGAGACAGTCAGTTTGATTTGTTGGTGGTTGTCGGAACTAATTCTAGATATAAATTAGCGCCTCAAGTCTTTTCATGTTAAAACAATGAGCTTTTGTGCAGACCAGTACAAGCCTGAGGAGAATCAATAACACTGAGCAACACATGAGAAAGTGGAGATAAGATATAAAGAAACTGGTGATAATTATGGGTACAGTGAAACATTTTAAACGCTCCATGTTACGCCGTTTTCTGATCTGTGTAATAATGTTGTTTCTTCATCGCAAACAGACCTGGAGTTGGGTTTTGTTTCATTCTCACATGTTTAATTAACACACAAATCCCGCATATTTAGGCTGAGTTCTTCTCTCAGACTGAAAACACTGTTCCACCTTCGCTCAATTTCATTTCTCTCCAGCGACTAGGTCAGGAATCAGAATACACTAGACGGAAGTTGTAGACCGCGCATCGGCCAATCAGAGAAGAGCTGTGAAGCCATGACGTCAAACTCAAGCGTCTGTCTGGGTCACTTTTGTGGTACGGCACAACAGTAAACAAAGCGGTCGCGATGGATGTAAACGAAGACAGACATTCTGTGTTGGCAACGATTCCCGAGATCGAGGATTTAAAGCCAGAACAAAGAGAAAGTTTGTTGAATTTTACCAAGGGAAAAAGATGTTATTGCCCTTCTTTTTTTTTTTTTTTGGAGCGTTACATATGTTATGACCAAATAGCAGCGATTGGTCAAATAAAAAAATCACCCACCTTCTATCAAGCGAACGAATCCTAATGCTGGCAGGTCAGACGGTTTCCATGAAGTGAAACCGGCTGATGAATCAGACTAGCGACAGATTAATATACAGGGGTTACTGAAACATGTGAGTAAAACTTGTCACAACACAACTTCAACTCAGATTTTACTACTACTACTACTACTACTATTACTGTGTTAGGGTTACAATCACACAGTTACTCTTACTTGACTTCTACTTTCCCCATTTAACCATTTTACTTTTATTATTTTTTTGGATTACTACTTTTTAAGGGTGTAAGTGTCACGATACGATATTCGTCACGGTATGAACCTCACGGCACGATATTTATTACGATATTGTGCGGAGGCTTAATAGCTAAAACTGTTAATATGCTTCTTTTTCCTCTTAAAATGCCGTGACAAGACTTAACCCAAAGAACTAAGACTTTGAAGTGCTTAGAACTGTTATTTCTTCATGTAGTCTGCACTGAAATGGAGCAAAGGATCATGGTCTATGTCTTTTTTTAGCTATTGCTGCACCATAACTCTTAATTTACGCAAAGACACTTATAATTCGATACATTGTGATGGTCCACGATATTATTGTGAGAACTTTGACAATACGATATCATGATATTTCGGTTATTGTTACATACCTACTACTTTGCACTTCTACTTAAAGGTTCACTATGTAATCTTTCTGGTACGGGGTCTGCAAACTGCTTGTCTCCATGGTGATGTTATTGCTTTGCCTAGAATGTTTGTGTTACAGCTTTAAAGTCACCCATCTGTGGAGACAAGTCTGGTTAAAAGTCGCATCTGTGGAGAGGAGAGGCAAGCGCGCTCACAGAAAGAGTGTTGAAAAAAACGCTGAAAGATGCATGATTTTTAATGTTTTAATGTGTATTTTACCTGTGTCCTCCTCAGAGCGTGCTGTGTCCTCGGTGTGGTCTTCATCCTCTCCTCCCTGTGCATTATGGGTAAGGCCATCCACGACCTGGCCACCAAACTGCTGCCTGAAGTGGTAAGAAAACACAACACAGTAAATCAATATAACACAATATATTATGAGTCACATGTGTTTATGTTGTGATCTTGGGTCGATATTGGAACTAAACATGGAATTAAGCCTGGACTTCCCCAGATCTAAACCAGGACTAGAACAAGACCTAAACAAGTCTAAACCAGAACTAAACCAGGACTAGAACAAGACCTAAACAAGTCTAAACCAGAACTAAACCAGGACTAGAACAAGACCTAAACAAGTCTAAACCAGAACTAAACCAGGACTAGAACAAGACCTAAACAAGTCTAAACCAGAACTAAACCAGGACTAGAACAAGACCTAAACAAGTCTAAACCAGAGCTAAACCAGGACTAGAACAGAACCAAACCAAGTCTAAACCAGGACTAGAACAGGACCAAACCAAGTCTAAACCAGGACTAGAACAGAACCAAACCAAGTCTAAACCAGGACTAGAACAGGACCATACCAAGTCCAGAACAGGGCTGAACAGGGCTAAACCAGGACTTGAACAAGACCAAACCAAGTCTACATCAGGGCTAAACCAGGACTAGAACTGGAGCAAACCAAGTCTACATCAGGACTAAACCAGGACTAGAACAGGACCATACCAAGTCCGGATCAGGGCTAAACCAGGAATTGAACAAGACCAAATCGGGTCTACAGCAGGACTAAACCAGGTCTAGAACAGGACCAAACCAAGTCTAAACCAGAACTAAACCAGGTCTAGAACTGGAGCAAACCAAGTCTAAACCAGAACTAAACCAGGTCTAGAACTGGAGCAAACCAAGTCTAAACCAGAACTAAACCAGGTCTAGAACTGGAGCAAACCAAGTCTACACCAGGACTAAACCAGGACTAGAACAAGACCTAAACAAGTCTAAACCAGGACTAAAACAGGACCATACTAAGTCTACATCAGGTCTAGAACAGGACCAAACCAAGTCTAAAGCAGGACTAGAACAGGACCATAGATCAGGGTTAAACCAGGAATTGAACAAGACCAAACCAAATCTAAACCAGAACTAAACCAGGTCTAGAACTGGAGCAAACCAAGTCTAAATCAGGACTAGAACAGGACCAAACCAAGTCTAAATTAGGACTAAACCAGGACTAGAACAGGACCAAACCAAGTCTACATCAGGACTAAACCAGGATCAGTGTAAGAGTCTGTTTTGAGAGGTAAATGCTGATAACAATTATTCAATTACTGGTTGATAATTTCAGCTCAAAGTCATGATTTTTCCAGTTAGAGTCGACTATCAGAGCTTGACATCGCAAAAAGTAATACATAGGACAGTTAATATAATAATCTGGAATTTAATCTAGTTAGACATATCCGTTGAGCCAATATTACACTATTTTCTGGTCTATTTTATAACGTTGTTTCCTCATGTAAACATTTATTTATTCCATTTACTTCACTTAACCTAATCTTTGTGATAAAAGCTTGTTCCGCAGTGTAAGAGTCTTTGAGTGGTGAAGGCTGATAACCATTATTCCATTACTGGTTGATAATTTCAAGAGTCAAAGTCACGATTTTTGCTAATTAGCCTTTGCAGTTTTATATTACATTATCAGAGCTCGCCTTGAAGTGAGTTTGTGAAGATGTGCATTTTATTTACAATGGTGGAACGTAGCAAAGTAAAAGTAGTGAAGTACTGTACACATATGTTTTAGGTATCTGTATTTTACTTAAGTAGATTTTTAAGTGAATGCTTTTTACTTTTACTCCACTACATTTTTGGACAGGACTGAAAAGTAGGGTAACGATATCCAAGACTCACGATACGATATCATCACAGTATGAACCTCACGGTACGATATTTATTGCGATATTGTGGGAATGCTTACGATACGGTGGGGATGTAACAATATCCAAATCTCTTACGATATTTTCACGATATACATCTCTCGGTACAATATTTATTGTGACATTTTGTGGAGGCTAACAAAACTGTTAATATGCTACTTTTTCCTCTTAAAATTCTTTGACAAGACTCAATCCAAAGAACTAAGACTTTAAAGTGCTTAGAACTGTTATTTCTTCTTCTAATCTGCACTGAAATGGAGCAAAGGATCATGGTCTATGTAGTTTCCTCTGTTTTTTTTGTTTTTTTTAGCTATTGCTGCACCATAACTCTTAATTTAAGCAAAGAAACTTGTGATTCGATATGTTGTTATGGTCCACGATATTATTGTGAGAACTTTGACAATACGATATCACAATATTTTGATTATTGTTACATCCCTACTAAAAAGTGAAAAGGCTGAGGGGTTCATTTTTTAACACAATCAAAAATATACAAGTAAAAACTACTAGAAAAGAAAAAATAAATCAATTCATTTGTTTTTGTTGAATAAAATTCAGCACAAATCTGAATCAAAGTCACTACGTTTTAAGCTTTATTAAATCTCAGAATCTGTACAAAATTCTTTTTTACGTTTACTCTTTAATTACATTTTGAAACAGGTACTTGAAAACTTTTACTTAAAGATGCACTGCGTAACATTTCTAGTGGAGGGTCCGCCACCTGCTTGTCTCCAAATGTTGTTGCTTTGTCTAGAATTTTCCACAGTGTATTAAAAAATTAAAACTATCACAGAAGATCAGCAGGTTACAGGCTACATTACAGGTCAGATCTGTGGAGAGTCGCTTCTATTTACTGAAGGAATTATTGTATTTTTGAGCAACAGAAAAACCCGTAATGAATATTTTTTTCATGTGATTCTTTTACTTTTAGTTGAGTATTTTCTTTGCTCTGGTATCTATACTTTTACTTAACAAAAGTAATAAAAGTACCTAAGCATACATGTTAGGTATCTGTACTTAAGTAGATTTTTAAGTGGATACTTTTTACTTTTACTTCACTACATTTTTGAACAGGACTGAAAAGTGAAAAGGCTGACGGGTTTATTTTTTAACACAAACAAAAATATCTGAGTAAAAACAGCTAGAAAAACAAAAAAAATTATTCATTTGTTTCTGTTGAGCAAAAATCAGCACAAATCTTTATCAAATTCATTACATTTGAAGCTTTATGAGACGTCAAAATCTGTACAAAATACTTTTAATTTTACTCTTTAATTACATTTTGATACTTTTACTTAAAAGGTGCACTGTGTAACATTCCCTTCACCAGAAAAGTTGCGCAGTGCACCTTTAAGTAGATTTTTTCATTGAGATTTTTTTCATTCTTTTACTTTTAGTTGAGTTTTTTTTTTCCTCTATTATCTGTACTTTTACAAAACTGAGTACTTCTTCCACCACTGTTTATTTATTGCTAAAAATATTCCCTGTACGTCTTATTTCCTGTTCTATATTATTATTTTGCGTTGGCCCAAACAACTGTGTAAAATCAGTTTGCGCGTTGCCGTAGTAACTGAGTAAATCCGTCCCATTTTAAGCCCAAAAAAAAAAAAAATTGTCTGAATCCGATTTTTTTTTTCTGGAATTCCATAATCTTGGTCCATTAATATCTAAATCTGACTACATCTGTAACTTGTCCCTGCCAATACCAAGGATTTTCAAACAAGCTCCGTGTTATTTTAGATCTAAAAATATCAAACAGAAATCTGGGGGACGATTTCAGACGCCAAAATGAACATGGACACAGACTGTATGTTATTCTTGTCTTATTTTGAGCCCTGGTTTAGTTCTGGTTCAGCGCTGGTCTAATCTTGGTTTAGTCCTGGTTTAGTCTTGGTTTAGTCCTGGTTTAGTCTTGGTTTAATGCTCCTGTTTTAGAGTTTGTTTTGTCTTGGTTTAATCCTAGTCTAGTCCTGATTTGTCTTGGTTGTTTTTAATGCTTAGACCTGCTTTAGTCTTGTTCTAGACCTGGTTTAATCCTAGTTTAGTCTAGTTCTAGTTAAGATCTGCACTAGTCCTATTTTAGATTTAGTCTTGGTTTACTTCTACGAGCCTCTTTAATCCTGTTTTTGACTTGTTTTAATCTTGGTTTAGTCCTAGTTTAGTCCGGTTCAGCCTCGGTTTAGTCCTGGTTTAATGCTGTAATTTTTTTTTTTCTGTATTAATCCTCATCCTGCAGTCTTGGTTGCTCTAGTTCTATTTTAGACCTTATTTAGTCCTGGTTTAATCCTGTTTTAGTCTTGTTTAGTCCTGATTTTGTCTTAATTCAGTCTTGGTTTACTTCTAAGCCTTTGCTTTAGACTTGATTTAGTCCTGGTTTAGTTCTAGTTAAGATTGGTGCTTGTACTGCTTTAGTCCTGATTTACACTTGGTTTACTTTTAAGACCATTTTTAGTCCTGGTTTAGTTTTCGGTGGGAGCTGCTTTTGTCCTATTTCTGTCCTATTTTAGTTTTGGTTTATTTCTTAGATCCCTTTTAGTCCTGGTTTAGTCCTAGTTTAGACCTGCTTTAGTCCTGGTTTGGTTTTGGTTTGTAATTCTGGCTACTCTTGATTTGTCCTGGTTGTTTTTTATGCTTAAACCAGTCTTAGTCCTGGTTTAGTCTTGTTTAGTCCTGATTCAGTCTTGATTCGGTCTTGATTTACATCTAAACCTTTGCTATGCCTGATTTAGTCCTAGTTTAGTCCTGGATTAGTTCTAGTTAAGATGTTTTAGTCCTGTTTTAGTCCTGATTTACGCTTGGTTTACTTTTAAGAACCATTTTAATCCTGGTTTAGTCCTGGTTTAGTTCTAGTTAAGATTTGCACTAGTCCTGTTTTAGTCCTCACTGGGAGCTGCTTATGTCCTATTTTAATTTTTGTTTACTTCTTAGATCCCTTTTAATCCTGGTTTAGTCCTAGTTTAGTCCTGGTTTAGTCCTGTTTTAGTTTCCATTGGGAGCTGCTTTTGTCCTATTTTGGTCTTATTTTAGTTTTGGTTTACTTCTTAGACCTCTTTTAGTCTTGTTTTAGTCCAGTTTTAGTCCTGGTTTATCTCTCATCCTGGTCACACACACAGACACAGATGATTGACAGTATAATTCCTCTTTTTTGTGGTATTATTTCCGCGCTGGCTCCAGATCAGATCCGTGT